AACACCGTAATTGGTGCACCAAGGTTCCCCTTCTTAAATACTAAGCACAAATAATGAGGAAATGATATATGAAAAGTATGCTCGGTGTGCAAATATGCACAATAAGAAATCAACCATCTAATATCCAAATTATAACCTCTCAGCCGCTCGAACTGCTAGTCTACCTGCAATGCTTCGAACTTTATTTGACTGTGGAGTCTCCTTCCCATCACTGGATAAGGGAAGCCCAACTATGAACTCATCAACCTCCTAATTGACAAATAATTTCCATATACATGAACATGTATACACAAGAAACTATAAAAGAATAAATGCAATACAAAGCTATTAATTCAAGAGCATCATCCCATTGTTGATATCATTATGCTGATTATGTAAGTTAAGTATCACTGTCACAGAGAAAAAAGTCTGATCTATGTAGTAGATTTTAAGCACATCTATTAAGAAATGTAAAATGTAAAGAGATCAATATAATATATTTTTTCTTCTGTCCTGCAAAGATAGTTCAAATTTTGCTCTTGTCCACCCCGCAAAGACAATGAAGTTATCCTATATCCTAGTCTTATAGTGAGGTATACAAGTGTAGGGAACCTGTTTCTGAGCAATATGAACAAGTCGATCTTCTAGCTTCTGGCCTCTCAATTCCAAGACCTAACATCAATTAGTCTATCAGAGCATTCGTATAAACATAAATAGCTACAAAAACTTGTACTCATACAGGTCCATAAGCAACTCAGCTTGGGAACAAACAAACACACAAATCTTACCATTAATGGACGAAATGCGAATCCTTTGCTAATAGCAAGACCAGTTCGACTTAATCCCAAGTCAACCCCAAGGCTGAAGCCAGCGCTGCTCCAACGCGGTTCACTCGCCTGCCTCATCGCATTTGGAGGAATTTCATCAACTGACAACGCCGACTTGACCGGAGTACTTTGTGTCGTTGATCGAATGCAGTTCAGGTAAGTGTTGCACTTCCCTGGTACTAGATATGGCAGCTGAATTGGAAATGGAAGTGAAAGACCACCTAGTTTTACCGTTCCCATCTGCTCCTCCAGAAGTCCAGAACGCTGGCATATCACGTGCAATCTGTAGAGTTGGCCTCTTTCTCTGTAGGGGGTGTTTGGATATGATTCTCAAAACTCATTCTGCTCTTTAAGGGAGCAGAAGCAGAAGCTGGAGTGTTTGGGTGAAATTCCAGAAGCACTTCTGGAGCTCTAATTTACTCTCAGAATCAGTTTTTTTAGAAGCTGGGGGGTACCAGCTTCTGAAAACTGATTCTGATTCTGCTTCTGCTTTTAAAAAAGAAGCAGAAGCAGAATCAGTTCCAAACACCCCCATAAGCCGGGTGTTCGGGAGAGATTTTTTTGGGGAAAACTGTCTATTCTCTCACTTGAATGCTTTATCCTCAAAAATTAATTTGAATGCGTTCTCGATTGAAGTTTTAGTTGAAATTTGGTAGGAGAAAAACTAGTTTTGATGAATAAGATGATAAAAAAAATTCATCAAAAAATTCGACCGGGAACCGCCCCAAATCGCGACGGCCGGACATAGCCTCATATATAAGAACTTATTTGACATTTTAATGAAAATTCGAGGATCTATTTGACAGTTTTCCCTTTTTTTTGAACATTTTTCTAAACCTATTAATGTCATCATTCTTGATTGGGATGAGACTCGAATTTGCGATCTCCTTTTTGGGAGATCAGCAGTACGCCATTAGACCACGAGATGTTTGGCATGTTTGGAGATCAGCAGTACGCCATTAATGCGTGCTCTCTTTGTATTTTTTTAACGGGATAAGGGTCAGTTTGGTCCTCGAAGTTGCAAAAAAAAGGTCAAATAAGTCCTTATATAGAAGATTCTGTCTGGACGTGCCATTTGAGGTGGCTCCCGGTGGAATTTTTTGATGAAATTTTTTGAGCATCTTATTCATTAAGTCTAGTTTACTCATACCAAATTTCAGATAAAGATTCAATGGGGAAGACATTCAAATGAATTCTTGAAGATAACTGTGCCGTTAAAAGCGTTGTTATCTTCAAGAATTCATTTGAATGTCTTCCCGATTGAATTTTTAGCTGAAATTTGGTATGAGTAAACTAGACTTAATGAATAAGATGCTCAAAAAAAAATTATCACAAAATTCCACCGGGAGCCACCTCAAATGGCACGTCCGTACAGAATCTTCTATATAAGGACTTATTTGACGCCTTTTTTGCAACTTCGAGGACCAAACTGACCCTTATGCCTTTTTTTAACTATGCAAATCTTGTGTGTATGATCTGGGAAAGATTATAGTCCTTACTTGAAAATAGTTTTCTTGATTCTTATGTTAGTTTTTAAAAATTATGACGGAGTGCTCCATATTATTTTGATTAATTTTAGTTATTTACGTTGTATGTTCATCTTATGGCGATTAATTTATCCGAGATTTGGGTTTTCACTTTTATTTTATTAAAAGTCATTGTTATTGTCACATTTCTATATTGTTATTGTACTTGTATATTTTTACAATAATATTAACATCGTCACAGTATTAATCTATGTTCTAAAAATCGTTCTAGGCGCCCGATTAGTCACCGCCTAGGTGCTAGGCGGTGGCCGGGCGCCCCGATTTTCATCTAGGCGTTCCGACTAATTGGTTTGCCGCCTAGGTGAATTAGTCGGCCGCCTATGACGCCTAGTTACACGCCTAGAACGCCTAATTGGCCGCTTAGGCCGTCTAGATTCGCCGAACTGTACTTTACTTTTTAATTTTACTTTTCCAAGCGATATACATACTTTAACTTTAGTCATGGATATAAAAAAATGAAGTTGTAAATTAAGATAAAACTATACATGTTTGTATATATACCTAAATTTTATCATTATTTATATTTATAACATAATGAAGTTAAATGATTAGTTATCATATACTACGCATGATTAAATGTGATAATTTTATCTTTCACATTTGTTAATGTATAAGTATATATATATATATATATATATATATATATATATATACTTTATACACACAAAAATAAAATATTACTTATCATATTTATGCAAAAATATAGATAAAAATGTAATTTCTATGTCTCTGATTAGTCCCCGACTAGGCGCCCGCCTAGCCGCCTAGGCGCTAGGCGTTGGGCTGGCGCCCGACTAGCGCCTAGTGCCTTTTAGAACATTGATATTAATAATGACAATATTGATAAATGATTAGTATAATTGCTATATCATGACATTTTAATAATTTTAACAATGGCCATGTCAGAATATACAATATTATATTTTTGACGTGTAATTTTAACAATGACGTCAGAATGGACAATGTTATATTGTTAATATAATAGCTTACAATGTCATAGCTGTCACAATGTTGTGTTATGCCATTAATACTAATATTGTCATCGTAATAATTACAATTACAATGACATTGTGATTATTACAATGACGTGTTATGTCATTGATACTAATATTGTCATCATTATTTTCTGACATTGTGACGTGCATTATTATATGACAAGGTAGTATAATTTCATTGTTTAAAAATTGATATCATTATATGTCAATGTAATATAATGCTTTTGTTTAAAAATTAATGTCGTTATTTAAAAATCAATGTCATTACATGATAATAATGTAAAATATGTCATTATGTCATTGTACGGTAATATACCAAATAAAGTTCCCGCTATCATATGTCTTAGCAAATGTAGCAATCAATAGAGAAATCCAAACAACTCAATTTCTAAATTGCCCCAGGACATTCAAAGTCATCTTCACACTTGACGCTTAAAGCATAACAAAAAATATGATATGAATATGATATGTCAAATTATATATATTTCATTTAATACGTAATTATTAAACAAAAATAATATTCAAATATTTTGTTCTTCAAATATTTGATTACGATAGCGTTCTTGCTTGATATGTTAATTAAATTTAGAATTATGATACATGTATTTAAATTACTTAGTTAAAATATGATACATGTATTTCAGCTATGATAGGTTAACATAAAATTAATGTTTAACGATGCAGTTTTTGAAATTTTGTGTAATTATGAAATAGATGAAAAGAGATAAATAAACTAATTTTATGTAATCATAAAATTTATTTTTTGAAAATAATGTTTATCTTTCTTATGTTTTTTGTCCTTTTATTTAATTATATATATATATATATATATATATATATATTCTTTTTATCCTTTTTATATTATCATTGTTATGTAATTTTGTTGTCTTTTATATCATACCTTATCTTTTTATATATTTTTTTGTCTTTTATCTCTGATATCATGTATCTATTCAAGTTAGGCGATTCTAATTTTTTGGGAACTATGGCTTGGTTATTGTTGTAATGATAATTTGGATTGAAAAAAGTGGAGACGAAGAGGGTGGGAAGGAGAGGAGTTTGAAGAGTAGAAAACAATTCAATCTTTGATTAGATCTCTGAATGGGCTGGGGTAGAAAGAGGGAAGAGGGAAGGGGAAGGAAGAAGAAATGTGAGAACCAAATGGTGTTTATAGTCTAGTGTATACAAAAAATGTACAACTTTTGTGTAAAAATGTCATTTTCCTTTTAAGGATTGACTCACACTTTTGAATTAAGAGGCAATTCTCTACCCATTAATACACTTACTTTCCTTTTAAGCTAGACATCTTTGACTTTTCTTTCTAATCAATGACGCTAAATTTCGATTGGTAATTGATACAAAGTAATTAAGAAGGGATTAAAGTAGTACACAGACATCTTGTATGGGTACGTGCAATAACTGGTACTATCTCATTTTTATTTTACGTGTCTTACTTTGGTTACGGACAATTATTAATAAATTAATGGAAAAAGTAAAAGTTATTATTGCAATTTGAGTATTATAAAATGAAATATTGTAAAACGTATTTTTTGTTTTTGTAAACGGGAAATGTTGTAAAACATACATTTTTTTTGTAAAAGGGAAATGCTTCAAAGCAAAAGTAAGACAAAGGAGTACACAAAAGTGAACTAGAAAAACTGTTATGCATTGGTACCAGTAGTCCAATAGTGTAGTACTCATGGAAGAACACCCCACCCTTACCATGTGCTCAACAACTATCTGGAAGATTCAAAAACACACACGCCCACATCTCTCCTTGATGGAATGCTGCTCAACTATGAAACAGCTCATGGAATTCCATGCCCATTTCATCTCAAGTGGCCTCTCCACTCATCCCGCCGTTCTTAGCTCCCTCATATCCTTCGCTTCACTTTCTCCCGCCGGGGATTTAGATTACGCCCGTTGTCTTCTCTCCCGCATAAGAGAACCCAATTCGTTCCTGTTCAATACAGTCATAAGAGGATATGCTTCAAGCTCCCATTCGGCCCCCGCTATCGTTCTCTACAATTCCATGCTCAGGTATAGTGTTCTTCCCAATAGTTACACCTTTCCTTTCGTAATCAAAGCCTTATCCAAGTGCGGTGCAGATTTCCTGTGTGTTGGTGAAACTATACACTGTTCTGTAACCAAATGCGGCCATTTTCCCGATCTTCACATAGCCAACTCGCTATTAAAAATGTACGCGGGTTTCGGGTTGTCACAACTGGCACGCAAGCTGTTCGACGAGAGTTCCCAACCGGATGTGGTTTCTTGGAACGTCATCGTGGACGATCTTTGCCGAAACACTTGCTTTCGTGAGGCTATGTGTGCCTTCTTCAAGATGTGTAAACATGGTGATACTCAGCCTAATTCCGTCACGTTTCTCTCACTCGTCTCTTCTTGCACAAAGGAAAGTGATTTGAGTACTGGGAAAATGATACATTCCCACATAATAGTAACAATAGGAGTTAACATCAGCAAAAACCTTGGAAACTCGTTGCTTGACATGTACTGCAAGTTTGGCGATTTAGTGTCGGCTGAGAAGATATTCAACAAAGTGCAAGTGAGGACACTATTTTCATGGACATCACTGCTAGATGGTTACCTGCTAAAGGGTGACCTCAAGAGCGCTGTGGAAATTTTTCATCATATGCCTGTAAAGGATACGACTGCCTGGAATGTCATGCTCTATGGTTTCATTGAGGCTGGTGAAATCAATTCAGCTGAAAAGATTTTCCGAGAAATGCCAGAAAGGGATTTAGTGTCCTGGAACAGTATGATTCTCGGATATGCCCATAACAACAATACAAAAATCCAGTCTTTGCATTTGTTCAAGGAAATGCTGCGTGTGGGTGTGAAGCTCGATAAGATCACTCTACTCGGTGTGTTTTCTGCTTGTGGGGGTTATACAGGGAAAACACCTTTTCTCGGTGAAGTGATCCATTGTCATATGGAGAAACAGAACATAAAGGGAGAAGAAGTAGAGACGGCTTTGATGGATATGTATTCCAAACACGGTGCTATCCAGAAAGCAATAAAAGTGTTTGAAACTATAGCGAGGAAGTCAGTGCTGGCTTGGACCGTCTTGATCCTGGGACTAGCTATGAACAGTCTTGCAAATGAAGCCCTAAGTTACTTCCACCAAATGTGTGAGGCAGGAGTAAAGCCGAATGGAGTCACCTTTTTAGGCGCTTTGTGCGCCTGCAGTCATGCAGGTTGGCTGGTTGTTTGTTAAAAGTAGCCCACACCTCTTATTCACCATATACGAACTGGGACTCTCTGGCCTTATTATTTGGGTTTCAAAGTTAAGACTCATACTCAAACTTTTGTTCGTCGTTTGAAATTTGAAATGGTTGTAGAATCATCTAATCTAAGGCCAAGCCAAACAAATTTAAGAAGCTATTTACATACCCCTATGAGTCAGACGTTTTCGCGGAGACCCCAGCTAGGAAATATATGAAAGTTTTGTTTGGACTTTTTAAATTCGAGTAAAAGTTTTGAAGTCGACAAAACAAAGGCATCAAAGTTGAAAGGTAACTGAATGACATGGAATTAAAATGTTTAGTTATTATCCTCAATCAATAAGCCTCATCATCATGTGTCGTAGGGGTTTCGTTTACACAAACAATGCCAAAAACATGCAGCACAGCTCAAAGTTAATAATGTGTTTAGACTAGTATTCGCAATCCAAAGCATGGTTAGTGTCCGCTTTAAATTTGAGTTTAACACAGGTCTTGTGGAAGAAGGCAAAGAGTTGTTCAGAGCTATGGTAGAGATCCATGGAATGACACCGAGGTCAGAGCATTGTGGCTGCATGGTGGATCTTTTTGGGCGAGCTGGTTTGCTGGAGGAGGCAGAGAAGCTCATTCAATATTTTCCACCTGCCATAGCTGATGATGCTTCTGGAACTTGGGGAGCACTTTTTGGGGCTTGTAGAATGCACGGAGAGATAGGAATGGCAGAAAAAATTGCCAAAAAACTGATAGAAATCGATCCATATCATTCAGGCAGATATGTTATTCTCTCCAATATCTATGCTTCCGAAAACAGATGGTGTGATGCTGACAAGGTGAGGAGGAGGATGAAGGCGTCGGGTGTTCAGAAAATACCTGGCTTCAGCCTGATCGACCTCAAATCAGTTTCCTAATTTTATATTGATTCTCCGTTTGGAGTCTGGTAATAAATACTTAAGAAAAGAAAATAGGAAGGGGCATTTGGAAGGGAAGAAATTTGAGGGAAAAAACATGAGTCAAATCTGACTCGTAAAGTTTTAGATTTATTTGTTCAAGCTCTTTCTATTACTAAAAAAATATAAATATTTGTCAAATAAATAACGATCAGTTCTGTTACATATATTTAAGTATCTTAGTGTTATTTGTTTTGTGCATAAAAATTAAATTGAACACTAAACAAATATCTGCAATGAATCTGTAGAGTGATAACAAGTCTTTGCTATTTCTTGTGCTACTTAATTCTTCCCTACTAGTAGTTTTTTACTTTTTTTATTACACAAAAAACACATCTATTGTTTTAATAGTAAAGTTGAGTTGTGAATTGCTGACATGTCAATATCTTATTGGTTCGTTAACAAAATTAATTAGCATCACTAATTAAATTCAAAATCATACGGCCGACTTAATGGAACAACATAAGATAGGACTCTGTTATTATTAATGCTTATTCAAAAGTCAACAACGGATTTTGAATGTTGCAAAGTGCATCTAAATAGGACTCTCTCTATAATAATAATAATAATAATAATAATAATAATAATAATAATAATAATAATAATAATAATAATAATAATAATAATAATAATAATGACAATAAGAATAATTACAAAATTACAACAATAACGATAAAAAATACTTACCTCCGTCCTAATTTACTTAGCCATCTTTGATTTTTTCAGTCAAAGATGATAAACTTTGATCAATTATTTTAACTAATATATTTATTCAAAATTTAATAGTTTTATGCTTTTATGATAGTATTTTAACAAAGAAAAATTTTGTATCATTTTCATATTATTAATATTTTCTCTATATAAACATATAATCGGTCAAAGTTAGACGCTATTGACTTGAAAAGTCAAGTTTGGCTAACTAAAATGGGACGCAGGGAGTGTTGCCTAATGCTCCCCTACATTTGACCCACCGTTGAGTGATTTAACTACCGGGTTAAAAAAAATAACAATAATAATAATAATAATTTTAATACCTCCATTCTTAATTAATAGTCCCCTTAGTTTTTTGTACTTCTAAAGAAGAAAGAAAATCAGGGGTAGTATAGAGAGTGTAGGCCGGATAGATGATAAATAGGAAAGAAAATATATTAACAAGAGTAAAGTAAGCAAAAAGTAAGAAAGAAAAATTAGTATGTAAAAAAAATGGACAAGGGTGATAAAGTTGAGTATAAACATATTTTGATTAAAAAAAACTTATTAAAATGGGAAAAAGAAACCAATAGTAGAACACATCCCATCCCAAAATGGATACGAGGCAGTTAATAATTTAATATAGAATAGAGAGAGTAATAATTTACTACCTCCGCCCCCTAAGATTGGGACAAAGGAGAGTAATGCAGTTTATAAGAAAAGTAAAATTATGTGATTGATAATCAATTGATATAGTGAGAATAAAGTAAGAATGAATTAAGGTCATACAAATATAACCAAATATAATAGGAACAAGTTTAATGAGACGAATTTAAAAAATGGGATAATTATAGTGAGACGGAAGAAGTGTAATAATACACATAAATCCTTAAAATAAAATTCATATGGGCAAACAAGTCAGATAAAAACACTTGAGAATATAATAATAATAATAATAATAATAATAATAATAATAATAATAATAATAATAATAATAATAATAATAATAATAATAATAATAATAATAATAATAATAATAATAATAATAATAATAATAATAATAATAATAATAATAATAATAATAATAATAATAATAATAATAATAATAATAATAATAATAATAATAATAATAATAATAATAATAATAATAATAATAATAATAATAATAATAATAATAATAATAATAATAATAATAATAATAATAATAATAATTATAATAATTATTATAATAATAATAATAATAATAATAATAATAATAATAATAATAATAATAATAATAATAATAATAATAATAATAATAATAATAATAATAATAATAATAATAATAATAATAATAATAATAATAATAATAATAATAATAATAATAATAATAATAATAAAGGGGTTGATACATGGATGGGATAAAGGGGCTGATACATGCTTGTATATACCCAAAATAGTATATAGGGATATTACCCGAAATAGGACTAAAAAGGTTTCAAAATTTCAAAATAGGACTAACATGTTTTTATTCCCAAAATAGAACTAATTACTGTCATGTTTTGGCAGTACCAGACTTCAAACATGGCAGTATTTTCTAAACTTGAGAGTAATCACTCCTATTTTGAGAATAAAAAAAACATGACAGTCCTATTTTGGAATTTTCAATCTGTTTTAGTCCTATTTCGGGAACTTTCCCTAATACATAATAATGATAATAATGATGATGATGATAATAATAATAATAATAATAACAATAATGATATATAATAATGATAATAATGATATCATTCTAAAAAATAAATAGTGATACCTATTTTAAAATCAAAATTATTCTTACTATTTTACATAGTATGATAGTAATAATAATATATATTTTAAAATCAAATCAAAATTACACAAATGGAAAAAATCATGTTTACATAATTGTTCATAAAATAGATATCAGGGAGTACGTACTATACCTATCCTGTATTTGCAAAAAATCGATGATCAATATTACAAAATTTCAACAAAAACTTTTGAATTAAGACTAATATATAAAACATTTCTCAAATTTTAATGAACAAAAATGACTAATATATTTATATAGTAAGTAAAAAATTGTAGGGATTAGTGAATTTCGTATTAAAAACTGATGTTGGATAATAAAGTAATTGAATATTTATGAGAGTGATCGACACCACCGGGGCATGCCCCGGGTGTTACACTAGTATTTTACAAATACTACCAACCTTTACTTTTCAAAATCATTTTTCTCAAACACTATTAACTTTTACTATTAATCATTTTTTCCGAAATCACTTAAAAGTAGTCTTGGACCTGGTTCGGGCCGCCCGACCCGGGAACCGGCCCGGCCCACTACTATGCGAGCCCGGACCGGCCCGGTGAACCGGTTTTGGTTCCGGGCCTAGGCCCGGTCCTGGGGGTTAGGACGGGGCGGTCCCGGTTTAGCCCAGTCTTTGGAACCGGCCCGGCCGGTTTCGGGCCCAGTTCAGGTCTTTTTTTTTTTTTTTTTTTTTTTTTTTTTTTTTTTTTTCATTTTTTGGGCTTTTTCTTGAGTTGGGTTGGGTGTTTTGGGGGGTTTGGGGGGTAGGGGGTAGGGGGGTCAGGGGTTAATTAGAAAGGAAAAAAATAACCCGGACCCAGCCCGACCCGGACCAGGTGGTAACCCGGGCCGGTCCCAGGCCTTTACCCCAAACATCAAAAGCCCGCCCAGGCCTAGGCCCGACCCGGACCTGACCCGGCCCGAGTCCAATACTTAAAAGTGTTTTTTAAAGCAAAATCATTTGCAAACATTCTCGTAGTGTCATTGAACCCTGTTATTATTGAGTTTCTCGTCAATAATGGGTCTACAGATTTCACTGATACACATGAATATTCAAACAACCCGATCCAAACATGTGAATGAAAATTCGAAAAGTACGGATGATAATCGAATGATGAGTGAATGAGATGACAGGTCAAGTTAGAATCATTGGATCCATCAAACTTGTTGCCAACAGTGACCATTAATATCTTTCATCCCTTATTAGTAAAAAAAATTTAAAAAATAGATTTTGAAACCTTTTTTATCATAAAAGAGCGGTCGTTATATTAAAATCGAGAACACATACAAGACAATCTTCAGACAGAATTTATAGATCCAGTTGTGAACTCTGGGAGTATATTTAGAATCAGCCACCTCATACAAAGCAACATGACCCGCTGAACCTGAAACGGGCAAATTTAAGCCTAAAACGATCGGAACCGAAACCCTGCCTATCAAAAGAACTCCAAAGATCCAAGCATTCAAACCAAATCTACTCGGACAGTCGGACTAAAACAGAAACAATTGCAACTAAAGAGAAAATAATACTGAAATAAAATCTTTCACAAAGCTCATACTGGTATGGAGGTGGTTCTGGAGGAGGACGAGCTCTTGCAATATGGGTGTATACCAACTCCACCATCGTCGGAATGGCCAACCATGGCTTCACGATCCAGCCTCGATACAACCTCTCAACCGCACCTCGTTCATCCGTCGCTATCTCCCCTGACGTAGTTGCAATCCCAAACGTTAGAACACTTAAAATCAGTATAATCTGTCACTTCAACCCCATATTGATTATTGATAGGGCGGCAAAAAACCTCAACCCCTACAAAGAGGAGAGACGTCTGCATGTGTTCCTCTTTCTCTAGAGAGAAGAGAGTTCAACATTTTTTCTCTAGTATTGATATATTAGATTTTGAAACTTTAAAATGAGAGGAATTTAACCATATATTTTTTTAAATTTATTTTATAATACATTAATAAATAAAATAGAGTCAAAGTACAACATGTTAATAATGGAAAAAGTTCAATGTTGCATTTAAAAAAGAACGGATGTAGTGTTTAATTATTTATACACACACATTACTTTGTTAGATATTAAATTATTCATTTAAATTCAAATCATACAAATGTGGGAACTAGTGATGGCCTCGGTGCGGGCCACCAAACTCGGGAACCGGCCCGGCCCGGTACTATGTGGGCCCAATCCAGCCCGGGAACTGGGTACCGGTTCCGGATCTATGCCCGGTTTAAGGACGAATCCGGGCGGTTCCGGGACTAATTAAATGTGAACCGGCCGGCCCAAGCCCGGTTCGGGCCCTTTTTTGTTTGGGCTGGGTTTAAATGGGCTGGGCTGGGTGTTTCCGATGGGTTTGGGGGATGAGGGGTAGGGGATGAAATAATCAAGAAAACAAAAAAAAAATAGAACCGGACCCAGCCCGAACCCGGTGGACAACCGGGCCGGTCCCAGGCCTAACCCATTGCCATCCAGACCCGGTCGGGCCCGGACCCGGGTCCATCACTAGTGGGAACTCTAATACTTCTAACGTTTTTAGGAACTTAAATCCCGTTGTTTGTTTCAAATTCACGAACGGATGGAGTATGAGAAATTGAGGTGTGCGAATGCGGATGAACCTCCTCCTGATAATAACCCAACCCCCTTCTAATCCTACTTATTCATACAAATACATCCCACAATAAGTTTAAAAGGCTTAGTAGAATAGACATTTGACGGAAAGAAAAAGTAATTCAAACACTTTCGAGAATAACTAATAAGTAGTAATTTCTCGCATAAGGCCAAGAGCCCAAGATAAGGTACGCCTGTATATGTGGATTTAAGGCCAAGCAAAAGTGAATTCTTTTCACTTGTATTATAGTTGTATATGCATACACGTGCACGGGCACAGAAAAGCAAATCATAAGGTGATATTTTTTTTAAAAATTACAAGTTATTATAAAGTGGAGGCTTTTATATGTGTGCACAAACTTAAATTTACGTTCCAACAGCTATAGATGACTAGCCACAGTTTTTGCAGAACTCCAGTATTTGGAAATAGAGAATGTTCGATGCAATCTATACACAGTTATAGTACACGCATTAGTACAGTTATTCTGCAAATGCACATCATTAATTAAATCTCAAACGAAGAGAGCAGAGATACACCAAACTGTGCTTTCCATCCATCCAATCTCTCACGAAGTCCTACAAAAGAAAATGACTTTTATGTGCCAATGAGGAGACCAGGGTAATTGATCAACATTGCACGAACTACTAGAGACTGCTGCTGCTATGACCCCAAAACCCCTATGATGAAGAGACATAAGAAACATATATACAGCAGCAATAGCGGAATATTTTTTATAGAGTTTCTTTGGGTACGTTATGGAATAGTCCATCTCACTAATTGTTCTTATGGGCTTGTCACCTTGTTTTGAGGCTTAAAACACAACCTGCTTGGTTTCGGGGGAAATAGAGAACACATAATTAGGTGAGAAAAAGATGGAGAGAAATAGTGTACATTTACATGTTTCCTTGGTGCAAGAGAAATGGAGAAGATTGAAAAAATTGAGGAGTTCATATCATACTCCTCTCGAATAAGATCAAGAAATAGAGGTTGATCCACCATTTTCATTTCTCACCAAACAATAAAACCTCCGCATTAATCACACTATTTATTTCCCCTCTATTTTTCCCTATCGTTTTCTCTCCTTACCAAACAACAGCTAAGTGTTCATAATTGCCGTCATTTGCGATCACAAATTAGACCCGATATTTAAGAGGCAATTCATGCTCCAATAAAAGGAAGCTTTCAAGTTTCAATACGCCAATTACATCGACATTGTAATTGAAAGGAAACCAGAAATGACCTTTTTCTAAAGAGCCATCTCAGCCTGCAAAGCAGCAATTTCATCTTCCTCAGCAGTGTTCTTCCGGAGAGGACGATGTTCCGGTTGCCTACCACTAGCTGCTTGTGCATGAATTGGTGCAGCAGGTGCGGTCGTAGCAGGTTGAAGAAGTTGTCCCTCCAACTCAGCTTCTTCTAGCTCTTCAAGTTCAGCCTCCAATTCATCCTGATGAGTGATTACACATTCTTAGATATTCTCCGCACTCAAGCATAAATACATTGATACATTCACACACATACATGCAAGCATGCACACACATTTATATGGGAATTGAAATACTTATGGCAGACCTTCCCAGTGCCTACATTTAGCAAGATTTAGTACTTAACAAAGCATCTACGATTTGCATGCTTTTACTTTTTAATTACGAAGCATATGGGCTGTTAAAAGTGATCCAACAGCCTTCATCAGTCATCACATAGATCATCACAAACGCCTCTTAGGGACATTTCTCTACACACCCATATATGTTCACATACAAAAGTGCTTCTTACGTAAAAATGGGGATTAATCTTAACCATTGAACTAAAATATTCAGGGATGGGAACAAATATTCAGGAACAAAATGTCATGGCATTTTAGTAAATATTTCAAAGTATATCATGCATAGAGTGCAACATTATTATTCACATAAAGGTGCAGCTTGTCTGAATGAAATATGCAAAGCTGAAAGAGTGGTGGCAATTCGTAAATATAGCTAGCACAGTCTGGTGTATATAACAGTGCACATTTAATTTTAAAATTTACACATTAAACTTCTAGACAATAAAATCATGCCACCACGTTTTAATTGAAATATAGATTTAGTCCACCGGTCCACCCAATTTAAAGTGATCAGAGACCTAGATTTAGTCCACCGGTCCACCCACCCACCACACGAGTAGAGGTTACAAAATGAATACCTCATCAAAATCGGCTGCTGCTCCAAGTGGAGCAGACAGCGCTTCCTGAATCTGTTTCATATTCTCAGTCTGCTCATTAATCTCATCCATTGTTTTGTCCACATCATCAATATTCCTGAGCCAAAGACATCATAGTACAACAATGTTACAAATTTACAATACATATTATCTTTTCCAATATGAGAATCTCAAGCTTGATTCAAAGATTGATGCTAAGTTGCTAACACATCATAGAATCTGACTTGTGTCCCTTAGGGTGTGTTTGGATGGAGGTATTTGGGGGGATGTTCATCTCCTCTCATTTGGTTGAAGAAATTTTTGAGGAGACAAAGTTCACCCCCCCCCTCTAGTCCCCTTATAATCCTCTCTATATAGCTCTTTTTGAGCATTAAAAACTCATAAAGAACCCCTTCCCTATCCCTCCAGCACAATCAAACAAAATACACTCCTTCCCCTTGCCTTGAATCAAACACACCCATAGTCCCTTACCCTTCAATAATGATAATCCTAAACACACGCTAATTACACACAACAACAACCTCCATGCCTAATTCCCAAAAGATTTTGGGGTCGGCTAACATGAACCGATCCATGATATCACAGCCAAAAAGAGAAGAAAGATAAGAAAAATAAAAATAAGGTAACATAAAATGGATAAGATAAAAATAAACATGGAGTATAAGATAAAAATATATATGGAGTATAATATAAAAATAATATAAGAACATAAGATTCAAACACGCTAATTACACAAGCCACCACAACTTGTCATTAAAAAATTAAGTTCCCTTAATGAAATTATCAACGGAAAAGATATTCATCTCTCAAATGCAATATAGATATGGAGGAGAAGTTTTATAAGGTCCCGGGATCTCTGGATTATGGTTGTAAATAAAGGGTTCCACACTTCCACATGCTTTAATTTTATTAGATTGCATTGGAGGGAAAGATTTATGAATGCTGTAATATCAAGCCAACAAAACGAGAGGGAGCATGGGGTGGCAAAAAACCGTGTTGCAAAAATAACTCACGTAGCCTTCTGCATGGCTTTCATAGTAGCAGCTCCAGTTCTCAAAGCATCAACAGTTTCTGTTGTGGCTTTAGCGCCTTCTAGCATTATCATCTAAAATTCGAACCCAAAGAGTTCTTCAATAGTTACTCAAGAAATGTATGCATAAGAGACATAGATATGTAACATATGAAACACACCTGATCATGGATACGCAATTGGAAGTTCCCAAGTTGTTCAATTTGTTGTTCATAAAGCCTTTTCCTCTTAAGACATTGAATCGCAGCTGCAAAAGGAATTAAGATCGCAAATTCATCCTAAATGAAATCAAAGACACTAGACAGCTACAAACAAGGAGGATTCACATATACGAAATAGCATTCAACTAAGATAGTGAAATGTATGATACCCCTGCCAACAGAGTGACTGAGAGAGGAACAATGTCCTTCTAGGGTTAATTTAAACACATTTAGCAAGCAGACACAATTTTATATTGTATCACAAAGATTGAATGGGTAATAAGGCTTGACTGAGATGCTGCTAATAGCTTCCACCTCAAATGCATCACCAAATATCAAGATACCCCAAAGTAAAGAGCATCTAAGACCATACTATTCAGATCAAAAGTATGCTACACCAATAACAAAATAAGAAAGCCATTGAGAAAAAAAACAGATTCCATTGAGCAGATAAACAGAAAACGTACCCCTTCTGTTTTTAGCTTTAGTGAAGTCCTTGGCCTTCTCAACTTCAGCTAAAGCTTTCTTCTGTAGAACCTTCTCCTTTTTCTCTAACATGTCAAGTGTCTGCTCAACACAGTCAAGTTAAGTTTAAAAATGAAGATAAGCCGCTAAGTCTTTAAGGAAAGAAGAGGTGGCAACTCACATAACTAATATGCTAATAGGTTGACAAATAAAATTCTCTTGGTCGGAAAGCACTAGAAATTCCAAATCTGACAAAATATACTAGAGATCTCCATAACTAAAGGGACATTGGAGTATTGGAGTCAAAAACACGTGTTTCTATTTAAATAGAGATGAATGGAAGAAAGGAACTCTCTTAAACAATAACACACAATTCATGTTTAGAACCAATAGTATAGAACAACCCATTCCTTGAGTAGAGGTTTAAACGAAGTAAGCTTTCAAAAACTGACTCCCTAGTCTACATTTTCTTGAAATCAAGTAAGGGTGTCCACTTTCTTTGGAGGTCACTGAACAAAAAAAATAAGCTACAATAATTTGATTTGAATGACAGTATTTCCAGAATGCCAAAAATATTATGGAGTATATGTTTGTGTTGAAGATGAACCTTCCATCCCAAGAATCCAGGAATGGAAGAACCATATACACATATTCCAAAAGTTCCTTTCTTTCCTCCTGATACGGTTATTTGGTTCCCTCATCCATAGAAGCTAATTAATGCGTTGTAGCTAGCAGAATAAGTATTTAAGTAATCGAAGAAAAAAACATGCTGGGAGTTTTGAAATCAAAAGTGGTGGGAATCATATTACACAACGAAGTAAAAATAAATCATAATTCAACATTAGAAACCAGAACCTTTATTTTGAAATAAAATGCAGCGTGATTAAAATAAGAACTCTGGACCAGAAGTACTCATCAACACAGGTTTTCAACTAGCAATAATAATAATTTTATATCACAAACAATGAAATTAATGACAGAAGCAATAATAACGCTATAGATACAGAGAGAAAGAAGTGTTAGAAATACAACGATCGATTAAAATCATACCTCGTTTAATTTGTCTAGAGTGGTAAGCGCATTTGTTTCCTGTTTAGGTTTCCCGAAGATTCTCGTAAACATCGTGGCTTATAACTTTTCGGATAAATTGACTTGAATATTTAACCCTGTAAAAAGAAACCGACTAATTCACCCCGATCAACTCAGCAAAAACGGTGATTTAAAACGAAAGTATATGATGAACCGAAATCGGCTGACCTGAGACAACAGGCAAGTGAATCAGATCAATTAGTCAGCTTCGACGACTTCCGAATGATCCAACCGCCGACGACTCAATTCAACATCGGGAGGACGACGACGAGAGAGAGCCTTACAGATTGCTTATGAGAGCAGTAACCGTGTGCGGCTTGTCAGCTTGGAGCCTTGGATTATTAATTTCCAAAAAAAACTCAATTGAATCAGGCAATTGAATTTTTTTTGGATTATTTTGGAGCCTTGGATTTTTTTTGAGCCCTTGGATTTTTTTTTAGATTATTAATTCCCAAGGGAGCATAAAAAGTATTACTCCCTTCGAAAATAATTAGTTGGTTTAGATAATACAAATTTGTAGTTATTAGGGAAAAGTATGAAAAAATTTCTTGTGGTTGAGCCTGTTTTCAGATAGGGTCACATGTTTCATTCTTTATCAAAGTGGTTCATGTGTTTGAATTCCGTTATCACAAGAAGGTCACGCCGTTAAAAACATCTGAAAAAGACCGTTAAAAGTAACTCTGGTTTTCAAAAGTGCTCGGAAAATTAAAAGAAAATTAACAAAAGGCGCGTCTCGTCAAGATGACCTACAAACAACCTTTGCCTTTGGATTTTTCAGATCTGTTTGAATTATTTTTTAAAATGATTTCACTAATATCACTTTTCCGGTGGACTTTCCGGTGACAAGGGTGGCTGAAAACAAAAAAGAAAGATGACTTAGCGGCCGTCTTATTGAGGCGCACCTTCCGATATTTTTCTTTTAATTTTTCGGGCACTTTTGAAAATCGAAGTTACTTTTAACGGTCTTTTTCAGACGTTTTTAACGGCATGACCCTCTTGTGATAACGGAATTCAACCACATGAACCACTTTGATAAAGAATGAAACTCATGACCCTATCTGAAAACGGGTCCAACCACAAGTACCTTATCCGTACTTTTCCCTAGATATTAACATAATTCAAGTTTTGCAAAAAAACATAATTCAGGTTGAAATAATTTTAATAGATGCGTAGTATATAAGTGTAGTATGTTTAATACATAGTAGCTCATTATAATTGTGATGTTATAAATGTAGCGTTTTTAATAATTGATGAATGATTTATCATTTAAAAGTACTAATTAATTCTTAAAATAGAAATGTGAATTTTTAGTTAGGATGTCCAATAGTAAATAAGAAATTTAGACTGGGATAGTGGGACTGCTAGTAATGTACTAGAGGTTTGGAGTAACTACCTCGAGTCCTGCGGGGCCGGGGTGTTACAATCCGTGCACGAATCCTTGAGGGGCCCATTGATGACTTTCGGGTACGTGATGACGGTCTGTTACTGTTTAAAGACCGTGTATGCATACCTCTGTAACACCCCGGGCCCGCAGGGTCCGGGGTAGTTACTCCAGACCTCTAGTACTGTCCTCACAAACCACCACGAGCCTTTACCGCACACTTTGTCCTCACTCATGCGCGCTCTGAGAAACTTCCCAAGACTACTCCCGTCCCGTGCAAGCACGCTTAACTTTGGAGTTCTTGGGTGATGAGGTCCCTTAAAAGGAGATGCACCTCTGTTGGTATGAGTAGTACTATTAATCCTCTTAATTTAATCTCGGGTATTACAATCACCCTTACTTAGGATCGCAACGTCCTCGTTGCGCCCTTCAACTAATCTCAATCAAACCCCATAATCTTTTCCCCTGATAAGTGTTTGCCCGATATCCAACGGATCAGCAAACTGTCGCATGGTTGCTCTGATACCACCCGTAACACCCCGGCCCCGCAGGGTCCGAGGTAGTTACTCCAGACCTCTAGTACTGTCCTCACAAACCACCACGAGCCTTTACGGCACACTTTGTCCTCACTCATGCGCGTCCTGAGAAACTTCCCAGGGGGTCACCCATCCCAAGACTACTCCCGTGTAAGCACGCTTAACTTTGGAGTTCTTGAGTGATGAGCTCCCTTAAAAGGAGATGCACCTATGTTGGTATGAGTAGTACTATTAATCCTCTTAATTTAATCTCGGGTATTACAACCCCGGGTCCTGCGGGGCCGGGGTGTTACAAATGGTATCAGAGCAACCCTGCGACAGTGTGCTGATCCGTTGGATATCGGGCAGACACCTAGCAAGGGAAAAGATTCTGGGGTTTGATTGAGATTGGTTTAAGGGCGCAACGAGGACGTTGCGATCCTAAGTGGAGATAATTGTAATACCCGAGATTAATTTAAGATGATTAATAGTACTACTCATACCAAAAGAGGTGCATCTCCTTTTAAGGGAGCTCATCACCCAAGAACTCCAAAAGTTAAGCGTGCTTGCACGTGAGTAGTCTTGGGATGGGTAACCCCCTGAGAAGTTTCTTAGGGCGCGCATGAGTGAGGACAAAGTGTAAGGTGTTAGAGACAGTTTCTTAATTTATTTTTGGAAACAAGTTTCTTATTTTATTTTAGGAAACGCATTCTAGTTGCCTTGGGGTTAGGATTTACTTCTCTATAAATACAAACTCTTTCCCTTTTAATCATTGAGTGTGTTCTTCTTATTATTCATCGCGTGCGTGAGTTTAATTCCTAACAATTGGCATCAGAGCCCTAGGTTCGAAGGGAGATCTCACGATGGCAGACAATTTGAAGACACCGATGATGCAGTTTGACGGAACGGATTACGGATTCTGGAAGTTGCAGATCGAAGATTACCTGTACGGTAAAGATTTGTATCAACCTCTGGATAATAAGCGGGAAGACATGAAGGAGAGCGATTGGAAGTTGCTGGACAGAAAAGCGATGAGCGTGGTGCGATTATCACTGTCCAGAAACATCGCCCTACACACCGTCAAAGCAAAAACGACGAAGGAGATGTTTCAGATTTTGTCGGATATGTACGAGAAACCTTCCGCTGTGAACAAAGTTCATCTGATGAGGCGTCTTTTTAACCTGAAGATGTCAGAAGGTACGGGAGTGGTGAATCATCTCAACGAGTTCAATGTGATCACCACACAGTTGAGCGCGGTTGAGATAAAATTCAACGACGAAATTCATGCCCTTATTCTGCTGTCTTCTCTCCCTGAAAGCTGGAACGGAACGGTGACTGCAGTCAGCGCTTTGGCAGGGAAGGAGAAACTGAAATTCGATGAAGTCAGAAATTTGGTGGTGAGCGAAAAAATTCGCAGGAAGGAATCAGGCCTGGCTTCTGGATTGACGTTGAGTACAGAGAACCGGTGCAGAACGAAGTCGGAGTCCAAGTCAAATCGGGATAGATCAAGATCCAAATCCAAGTCAAACAGCAAGGGCAAGAAGGACAGAAGTCAGATCAAGTGCTGGAACTGTGAGGAGTACGGACACTTCAAGAGCCAGTGCAAGGAGCAGATCAAGGATCTGAAGGAGAAGACATCAGCCAATGCAGCGGCAGAATCATCTGGCGATGATCTCCTGATCCTAAGCGTGAGCAGTCCGTTGGAGTCATGGGTTCTGGATTCTGGAGCTTCGTTCCATTCATGTGGTAATGTTGAAGTGATGGAACAGTATACTCCCGGCAATTTTGGAGAGGTGTATCTTGCTGATGATGAGCCTCTTAAAATTGCCGGGAGGGGGACAGTCCACGTGAAGACTTAGAACCGATGCATGCTGAAACTTTATGGCGTCCGACACATTCCTGGTTTGAGGAGGAATCTTCTTTCAATTGGGCAGCTGGATGAGGAAGGTTATGCAGTTGCATTCGGCAGCAGAAATTGGAAGATCACCAAGGGAGCCTTGCTGGTTGTTAAGGGGAAGAAGGAGGATACGTTGTACATGACAACGAACTCGAAGGACTGCATCGATGTTGTTGCCGCTGCAACAAACAATGTAAATTTGTGGCACTGTCGTCTCGGTCACATGAGCGAAAAGGGGATGAAGGAGCTTTGCTCGAAAGGCAAACTGCCCGGCCTTAAGACTATTGAGGTTAGCTTATGCGAGGACTGCATATTCGGGAAACAGAAACGTGTCAGTTTCTCACAAGGAAGGCAAGCTATCAAACCAGAGAAGCTGGAACTAGTTCACACCGACCTTTGGGGACCTGCAGAAGTTACATCCTTGGGAGGATCCGCCTACTACATGACCTTCATTGATGATGCGGCAAGAAAGGTATGAGTTTATTTTCTCAAAAATAAATCTGATGCCTTTGATGCTTTCAAGAGGTGGAAAGCTCGTGTTGAGACAGAGAAAGATTTGAAGTTGAAGTGCCTTCGGTCATATAATGGAGGTGAGTATGAATTGCATGAGTTCAAGAATTTTTGTGCTGGGAATGGGGTTCGTATGGAGAAGACAACAAAGGGGACTCCGCGGCATAATGGCGTTGCTGAACACATGAATAGAACACACTGAATGAGCGGGCAAGATGCATGAGGTTAAAGAGTGGCTTACCGAAGATGTTTTGGGCGGATGCAGTGAACACCGCGACTTTTCTCATCAACAGAAGTCCAACGATCTCGTTGGAGAATGGCATTCCTGAAGAAAGGTGGACGGGTAAAGAGGTAAATCTGTCCTATCTCCGCATATTCGGTTGTGTTGCTTATGTTCATATCAGTTCCGTTGACCAAAGCAAGTTAGACGCAAAATCTGTTAAGTGGTACGTTCGTTGGATATGGTAATGATGACTATGGATACAGATTCTGGGATGACCAGAATAGGAAGATTATTCGTAGCCGAGATGTAATGTTCAACGAGCAGGTTATGTACAAGGACAGATTGATTGCACCTGATTCTGAGCAAGAAAGTCTGAAAATCATAGAGTTGGATATCTCGAATTCAGGTGGGAGCAAGCAGGATCAGAATGAAGAGTTGAGTAGTGATGAAGATCCATCAACCCCACCAAGGCAGCGGCCTGCCAGAAACCGGAGAGCACCAAATAGGTATTCACCTTCTAATTTCTATTGGTTGCTTACTGATGGTGGTGAACTGGAGTCCTATGCAGAGGCAGTTCGGTTTGATGACAAGGGCAAGTGGAAACTTGCAATGGATGATGAGATGGCATCTCTCACATCCAATGATACTTGGAGGTTAGTTGAGCTACCGAAAGGAAAGAAGGCTTTGCATTGCAAGTGGGTCTACCACATCAAGAAGGAGGCAGATGGTAGCAAACGCTACAAAGCTAGGTTGGTTGTGAAGGGGTTTGAGCAGCGTTATGGTATTGATTATACCGACATATTCTCTCCAGTTGTGAAACTAACTACTATTCGGTTAGTGTTGGAGTTAGTTGCTGCAGAGAATTTGTTGTTACATCAGATGGATGTGAAGACTGCATTCCTTCATGGTGATCTGAATGATGTGATTTACATGGTGCACCCGGAGGGCTATGTGGCGGAAGGCAGTGAGAATCTC